GGCTAATAACCGAGTCGATCACACCTGTCGTCGAGAGCAAGGCCGTGGCGAAGCCGTGATCGAGACAAGTCGAGGACACGAACACCCGATCCTTCATCACGCTGGCAGTAGTGCACAGGGCCCGACAGACAAGCAGGGTTTCAAATAGGACCGACCGATTTCAAAAAGTACTCGACCAATTTACTTGAAATTTTGACACATTAAAATAGACCCACAAAAACATATTTTCACAAAGTTTCAGACCCAACACTTCTGTTTAACGTAAGCAACCAATTTTTATGAAAAGACGATGAAAATCTGAACATTCTAGTTCACTAGGAAATCCTTTGAATTTTTCAACGAAATTTAAACACAGAACATATAACATCAGATTACTAACACTCACCAAAAATCACAGCAAAACACCAAGGATCCGATTTTTAATGATTTTTTGAAGTTTCTGCCCAGAATTTCAAATCGACATTTGACATAGCTACAGATATTTTTTCGACCTGAAACGTTTACGCCACATAACATACCAAACGAAGGTCATACAGTTTAAATTTCACAGTAATCGGACGAACACACAATTTATGATGATTTTTGTAAAAATCAGCAGCAACTCCCGATTCAAAAAAATACATATATGACCACATACTCAACAAAAACGTCTGAGGCCTTCACCATGAGGCCAAAGACTCATAAATGTTCCATAGTCCACAACCCTAATATGATTTTAATGATGGTTCATCAAGAACACACTAATGTCCCTTCAAACATGCATAACAATGTGGTTCGGAGGCTTATTTCCTCGAAAATAATAGAGCTCTAGACGACCGAGCACCTTTACTTATTTTAAGAGAATCTTGGAAGAGGACAAAGGCTCTGGTCGGACACAAGGTGAGTGAGGGACATAAACTTACACATTGAATATAGTATTCACATGCACACATGCTCAAATAATCCTTAATCCACCTTAAAATATTCACAAGGTCTTGGATTTGGAGAAAAATGGGCCAAAACATAGGAAAGGGGCTCGGAAGGTGGCTGGCCGCTGGCTGGACACGCGCTGGGTGCTGTCTGCACGTGCGCTGGGCGCTGTGATACGGAAGTGGAGGTTAGCACTTGCGAGGCTAGTAAATTGGGGAAGCAAATATGCGTAAATGGCGCATCGTGCCTTGATGCGCACGGGACGGCGGAGCACACGCGAGCGGATGCATGCACATATGGTACGGGCGCGCGAAGCCTAGTCCTCCGTGAACTAGGCATGGCAAGGGGACGGCGTGCATGCGCTGGCTGGACACGGCAGGTGCGGCAATGGCGAGATGGCGCGCGCGTGCGGGGGCAGCGCGCGGGACGCCAAAATGAGCAAGGAGTAGGCGAGAAGCGGATGGGGCGCATGCGCAAGGGCGAAGTCAGCGCGGGCTGGGTTCACGCACGAGCGCGCTGATGCGGAAGTGGCTAGGAAACTCAAGAACACCGCGAGTCGCGCTTACCACGCACGTAAGAGGTTAGCATGGGAAGCAGCAGAAGTGCGCGCACTGGAGAGTAGTGCGCACGGGACAAGCGAAGATGGCCAGCGCGCGGGAGTACAGACGATGGATGCAGAAGGCGCACACAACGGATGGTCATGGGGCGCGACAAGTACGGGCGTACGCGTAGCACGTGGCAGCAGTATGCGCGAAGCGATGGGCGCAAGCGCTGATGGGACGCGGGCGATTGGCGGAGACGCGCGCGCAGCAGGGTGGACGAGCGGGGCGCGCGGAGCGCGCATGACGAACAGGCACGCGCGGAGCTGGATGCCGCATGCCTCGAGGAATGTGGAAAGGGGGAGGAGCACGCGCACGCTGAGGGCACGGACGGAGTAGGCGTGCGCCACACGGCGGGGGCGCAACACGCGTGCAAAGAGGCGGCGCCCTAGTGCCGCACCAACTAGGCAACGTACGGGCGGTGCGCAAAGGCGGTTGGCGTGCGTGCGCAAGAGTATGAGAGAGAGAGAGGATTGCTTGGAGTGTACACCAAGAGATTTAGTTTCCAACTAGCATTAAGATTTCTAGCTTGTTTAGGATTCCTAATATTTTATTGCTTTATTATTTTCCTAGGTAGATTAGACTTAGACAAATCTTGTGCCTATATAAAGGCCCTTACCCCCATGTTATTTTTAATCATCCAAGAAGTCAATAGAAATCTAGAACTTTGTTCTTCCAACTTTGCTTTAGTCTTTTCACCAAAATACTACTGCAATTTTATTCATTTCAATAGGCGCGGTTGTGGCTAGAGAAACACTATCGGCGATTCAAGGCGCGGGTTAGCGGCTTATCGGCAATCGAAACACACGATCCTCATCATTGGTGCTTTCATTGAGAGGTCTTGATCGTGTGTTTTTCTTCTACCCCATTCCCTTTCTTTTTATTTTTGTTTTTTCGTCCCCCTTACCAAAAGAAAAAAAAAACAATAAATATATATATATTTTCGTCCATCATCATCATCATCATCATCATTCAACCACGAGTCCACAAAGCAAAGAGCGGAGAGAAGAAAGAAAAGCCATGGCCAACAAAGAGATGAAGGATAAGATCGATAATCTTGACATCCAGATGCGGAGTATGAGCGAGGTTATGGAAGGAAGGTTTGGATCGCTTGACGAAAGTCAAAACAACACCAACGCTGTTGTCACACGACTCGAACAACGATTAGAGGAGGTCTTGCGTGCGCTCCAGCAGCAACCACCTCACCGCGACGATCCCCCAAGGCGCGAACCGCGCCGGCACGCCGAGCATGCAGATCGCACACCATCCCCACGACGCGAGGATCGACGCGAGCAACGGCGCGCGCGCGAACAGGACGAGGACCGGCGACGCGAGGGTTACGAACACGAGGAGGAGTTTGATCAGCGGTCGCAGGCATCCACCTACCGTGAACGGCCAAAGCCAGAAAAGTCGAGGTTCGTAATGTCCATCTTTACGGGTAGTGATCCGGAGGCTTGGCTCAACCGAATTGCGCAATATTTCGAACTGAATGAAACCGAAGGCCACGATCGAGTGAGGTACGCGGCATTCTATTTGGATGGAGAGGCCAATGTATGGTGGCAGTGGCTCTCAAGGATCTACCGTAGGCGGCAACAGGTCATTACATGGGCTGACTTTGAGAGAGAATTGCTCACACGTTTTGGTACGTCCGATTACCATAACTACAATGAGGCTCTCGCGCGAATACGACAGACAGGCAATCTGCATGAATATATCAAGGAGTTTGAACGGCTAGCCTGTCGCGTACGAGATTGGTCTGAGGATGCACTAGTAGGAGCCTTCATAGGTGGGCTGAGATTCGATCTAGCCGCAGAAGTCCGACTGGAGCGACCGGACACGATGCATAACGCTATGGAGGTAGCACGGCGGCGAAGAAAACCATCTAGTCGCTACGCGAAGGGGACGGGCGGATGTGCGATTCACGGACACGCGACGCACGGGATCGAACCAGGCAACGGCCAGCGCACGGCCAAACGTCGGCAATCGACCTGCGGGGTCAACAGTAAGGCGGCTGTCTCCCGAGGAAGTTAAACGTCGACGTGAGAAAGGCTTATGTTTCAAGTGTGAGGAGAAATTTACACCAGGTCATCAGTGTAAGAAAGCTTTTGTGATCGAAGTTGCTAATCCTGATGAGGAAGGATCTGAGGACGAGGAGGAACCACATCAGGATAATGAAGTTGAGGGGCCCGACGAAGAAGCAGAAATCTCGATGCATGCAATGGACGGGATTAGAGGGCCTCGAACGATGCGATTGCCGGCCTGGGTCAAGGATCGGAAGGTGGTGGTGCTAGTGGACAACGGGTCATCACATAACTTCATCAATGCCGACTTGTCCCAGAAGCTGAACTTACCAACCACGAAGATTGAACCTTTTGAGGTACGAGTAGCCAATGGTGAGAGGCTGCAATGCACTAAATCCTTCCGAAAGGTGCCAATCAGGTTCAGCGGAGTTACGGTGAAGGCTGATCTCTATGCCTTATCTTTGGTTGGGCCAGATGTCGTCCTAGGAGTACAGTGGCTTGAAGGGTTAGGCAAGGTGACCACCGACTATCGAACAGGAATAATGGAGTTCAACTCCGGAGGTCAGCAAGTCACTCTGAGTACTGGCAATGACAAAGGTACCAAAGAAGTAGAACTTAAGAGCATTGAAAAAGTTTGGCGGGGTGGAGGCCAAATATTTGCAGTAGTAGTAGAGAAAACTGAGGCCCACATTGACCAAGAGGAACAAAAACAGGGAGATGTGCGCGAGCTTCTCAGGGAATTTGAGGGAGTACTGGGCGAGCCTAAGGGACTACCCCTACACCGGGAGTTCGATCATCGCATACCACTGACCAATGAGCAGCACGCCATACACGTTCATCCCTATAGGTACGCCCACTTTCAGAAAACTGAGATCGAACGGCAAGTGGCCGAGATGCTTGAGTCAGGACTAATCCAGCATAGCAAGAGTCCATTTTCTTCTCCAGTCCTATTAGCCAAAAAGAAAGACGGCACGTGGAGGTTCTGTACTGACTACCGAGCTCTGAACGCTGCAACCATCAAGGACCGATTTCTTATCCCTAGCGTTGACGACATGCTCGATGAGTTAGCCGGGTCACGCTATTTCTCAAAGCTCGACCTGAGAGCGGGTTACCATCAGATTCGACTCCATCAGGCCGACATTCCAAAGACAGCTTTTCGTACGCACCAAGGGCACTATGAGTATTTGGTCATGCCATTCGGATTGTGCAACGCCCCATCCACTTTCCAGTTCGCTATAAATTCCATCTTCAAGGAGTATCTACGTAAGTTCGTTCTGGTATTCTTTGATGATATCATGATCTATTCGAAGTCGTGGGGCGAACATCTTGGGCATTTGAGAGTAGTGCTCAAAATTTTGGAGGCCAACTCATTCCACATCAAGCCATCCAAATGTTCATTCGGGCAGAAGATGGTTGAGTATCTGGGGCACTTCATATCCCACGAGGACGTGAAGGTTGATCCACGAAAGATTGAGGCTATGGTCGATTGGCCTAAACCAACAAGTCTCACGCAGTTGAGAGGATTTCTAGGGCTCACGGGCTACTACCAGAAGTTCGTGAAGGATTATGGAACCATCGCCAAGCCATTGACGGACATGACTAAGAAAGGCGGGTTCACATGGACCGAAGCTAGCGAGGAGGCATTTGGGAAGCTGAAAGAAGCCATGACTACAACGCCAGTTCTTGCCATGCCAAGGTTCGATGTCTTGTTCGAGGTACATACCGATGCGAGTGACATTGGAATTGGAGCTGTGTTAGTGCAAGAGGGACGACCCTTAGCTTATCTCAGCAAGGCACTAGGCACTACACGTTTGGGTCTATCGGTGTACGTGAAGGAGATGCTAGCAGTTGTCGAGGCTGTAAGGTGCTGGAGGCCTTATTTATTGGGCCGACGTTTTCAGATTGTGACCGATCAGCAGCCGCTTAAGCATCTACTGAGCAAAGGATTGTTACCGCCGAGCAACAGAAGTTCGTATCTAAACTTATGGGGTTTGACTTCGAGATAATCTATCGACCAGGTCGACAGAATGCAGTAGCTGATGCACTATCCCGACGAACGGATGTAGCCGAGCTGAACGCTATCACTGGGCCAACTTGGACTATTTGGGAGGAAATCAGGAAGGCGCAAGTAGAGGACACCTATTGCCAGGAGCTGCGCCAATCGATAGAAGCAGGTAAGACAACTGCTATCGACTACGAGTTGCATAATGGTCTGCTTCTACACCGGGGCCGAGTATTCGTTCCGACAGTGGGCAGTTACGTGAGCAGATCATGCAGCACTTCCACGACTCTAAAATTGGAGGCCACTCGGGTATCTATCGCACGTGGATGAGAATAGCCAACACTTTCTTCTGGCCCGGACAACAGAATACCGTCCGAGACAACATAGCACGGTGCGACGATTGCCAGCGCACTAAGTCTGACTCACGACGACCGAGCCGGCTGTTGCAACCCTACCGGTACCCGAGGCGATCTGAGAAGACATTACTATGGATTTCATAGAGGGGTTACCGAATTCTAATGGATTTGACGGTGCTATGGTCGTAGTGGATCGTCTCACAAAGTATGCTCACTTCATACCCATTACCCATCCTTACACCGCAAAGTCGATTGCCAGGTTATTTGTGGAATATGTGATGAAACTGCATGGAGCACCACGATCCATCGTCTCTGATTGAGACCGGATTTTTATGAGCAGCTTTTGGTCTGAATTCTTCAAATTCCAAGGGACTAAGTTATCTATGAGCTCAGCCTACCACCCACAGACAGATGGACAAACTGAGGTAACCAACCGAACCCTTGAGCAGTATTTGAGATGCTACGTCCATCAATTCCCGAAGTGGTGGGAAATCTTTTTGCCTTGGGCTGAGTATTGGTACAACACCACTTACCACGAGTCGACCAAGATGACGCCATTTGAGTTGGTATACGGGCGAAAACCCCCGACACTGCTCAATTATTCGGAGGGGAGTACAGTCAACGATGAGGTTGGTCGAGAACTAGAGGAACAAGATTTGATGTTACGTGAGCTGAAGAAAAATCTCGAAGGCTCAATTGATCGAACCAAAGCCTTCGCAGATGGGAAAAGGCGTGAGGAAAATTTTGCACCAGGTGAGTATGTCTGCCTGAAGCTACGACCGTTCAGACAACGCACAACGGCGCAAAGAGCCGCAACTAAACTAGGCGTTCGCTATTACGGGCCTTATCAGATTCTGAAGCGCATTGGTCAGGTAGCATATCGCCTAGAGTTACCGGAAAGTTCACAAATTCACCCAGTTATCCATGTCTCACAACTCAAGAGGAGTCTAGGAGAAGCACATAAGTATGGTGAGGAGTTACCTGCAACCGCAACTGATGGTAGGGTCATAGTACGACCAAAACG